GCGGGGCGGTGGTGAGGGCACGGAATTTAAAGCTCTGGCCCAGGAAATAAATCAGATTCCTCTCCATCCCTCACGCATCTAAGCTCCGCTGCACACTGGCCAGCAGGGCGCAGCCTGGCTAGACCAGTCCCAGCTGTCCGTTGAGAAGGAAAGACTGTGACGGGCATGTAGTGGAATCATGGGCAAGGCCTATAGGAACGGGAATGGACCCAAGTGTCTGGTAGGCCTTTCCCAGAGGACCCTCCTAGGCATCTTGCTATCTTGATTTTTCAGTAAGTCTCTCTCTGAACCTGTCTCATCTCCAATAAAATAAGAGAAAGAATGTCTTTGCAGAGCACTGTGAGGATGAAGTGCCTAGTACACCTTTAATGTTCTATAAATTGTAGTTATTGGTAGGGAGAGGGAACCTGCAGGGTCCGAGCTGAGGGAATAGTGCAAACTTTAGAAGACTTGGAAAGGTAGACTTGAAAAAGCAGACAAATCCATTTCTATTTCCATGACTGGAGAGGCTCAGAAGATTCAATTGGACAATCACTTAAGAGAATGAGTAAAAGGGAAGCTTATATCTTGTACCAATTCCACAAACAGAATTTAAAATAAGACCCTCTCACTGTCTTAAAATCTAGTATGGGAGGTTGACCAAAAAGAGTTTGAGTATTGTGAGACATTTAGAGGCGCTATAAAGTAAAATTACATGAGGACGATGGAGTCAGCAGATTGGGAGGGTGCTATTTTCCATGCGAAGACCTCTCTCAGGAGTGACCTGAGTGAAGTGTGAGAATGGGTCTTGGGAAACTCTGGAAGGAGCATTCCAGTTGGAAGAAACAGCATATATAGCACCAGGAGGAGATCAGGAGCTCTTTGAAAAACAGCATTTATCCTATAATGCTCCAATCCCAGCTATATTGTGATTTGATGACTGAGATTTCTTGTTCCCATAGCTCTATCCCCAGCACAGAACCTAACACCTAGTGTACCTCAATAAATCCCTTTTCATTTGGACATAAAAGAAACAGGATGGAGGGCACAAAATGGGAAACAAGAGCTGGTTGAGGAGGTAGGTCAGGGCAGGTCTGTGCAGTTTTGCTCCTGTCAGCTGAAAAGAATAATGGTATTCAGTCCTGTAGAGAGGTGCTCCCTCTCTTAGTACCAAGGGAAGGAACCACCTATCCAAGCTGTTCTGCTTTCATAAAGAGCAGGGGGACGATCAGGCACCCAGCCACTAGGGCACTGTGGCAGCCCTGTACCTACGTACTAGGCCTTTCTCCATTCAGCATCCTTTTGCAGCTGAGTCATTTTCCCAGGAGGAAGAAATGCAGCTCAGTACTGGACAGCTACAGAGGTCATACCATCCAACTATTGGCTTTCCATGCCTGGCACTGTGGTATCCACTATCAAGAAGAAAAAGTGACTGTCCCCAATTCTGTTGCTGTAAAGAACCTACTTCACTACTTGTCAAAGTACATCTCCTGGGCACTTTAAAGCTGTGGACATAGCCAGAGTAGAAGGCCAAAAGAGGCTTTTGGAGACAGTGAGTCACAGCTGAAACGTGATCGTCAGGTTCTATCAGAGGGCCAAATCCCAGGTTCTCACTCCTGGCTCCTTACCTCCCCATCTTCATGCTGTCTTCCTGCAGCCCAGCCAGGAGAGACTGTGGCTCTTGACAAGAATTCTACCCCATCTGACTTCTGCCCCCACCAGATGTCTTTCTTTGGCCAGTCTGTCTCCCCTGCTAAGCTTACCCTGAGCTGTCCACTTTCTACCCAACCAGGAAAGCTAGTTTCTTCTGGCTGTGACTTCTACCACCCCTAGTCCCTTATCAGGCTGAGCACCCCCAAAGTCACTCCCAGTACTTTTAGCCTGAGGGAAAGTCTTCCACCTTTTCTGTACTTAACTTTTCACAGCCAAATCAGTTTAGACATTTCCCAAAGTAGCTTTACTAGTAAACTAAAAATTACATAGTTCTCAAATGCAATCCTCAGACCAGCTGCATCAGCATCATCTGCTAACTTGTCAGAAGTGCGAATTCTAAGGCCTCAATTCCTGACCTAGTAAATCAGAAACTCTGGGTGTAGGGCCCTGTCATCTGTGTTTTAACAAGTCCTCTAGGTACTTCCCATGCTTGCGAACCACTGAACTATTAAGAGAAAGCATATTGCTAAGGGATATAAAGGAACTACAGAGGCATAAAACAGATGATGTTTCAACTCTTAGGTTTCTGATTCTGAGTGAGCTGATTGATGTTACTGGGCCTCCAGGACTGCCTTTCTGAGGAAACCTGAAGTTAGTAGCCTCAGTGTTGGCACAGTGGATGTAAAGAGTCTGGCAGAATTGTCTCTTCCAAAACCAGGTTCTCTGTCCTCTCCTGCCCGTGATAACCTTTAGCCCTGAGTTCCTTCATAATTTCTGGGCTTGCCAGTCTCTTGGAAGAGAAAGATCTCTCTTCTATATGTCACCAAGAGTTTTCCCTCTTGGGAGTCAGCCTAGAACCAGGACTGAAATCAGCAGTCTAAAGTTAAATTCTAACACTTCCAGTTACCAGCTATGTAGCCTTCAGTGAATGATTTAACCACCTCAATTTCCTCATCTGTAACAGAGATTCTAATAGTAATTCCTAGTTAGGGTTGTCTTGAGGATTAAAGAAGCTAAGTATGCAAATGCCTGTCTTACTATGTTTTTAACAACTGTTACTATGCTTATTCTCTGTATATTATCCTTTGCCATTTTTTTCCCTCTACCTCTCAATCTTTGGGGGCCTGAGAAGTCCTACATTCATCTCTGAACCCCCCTATTCACTGTTATAGCTGTCTTTTCTGAAGCCTAATAGCTGGTAAGATGTTTCTCTGTGTTTTAACCCCAAATCTTCCCCCCAGGACACCCTGTTGATATCTGGCCTGAGTCTTAGTATATGTCACCTAGGTCAAGGAAAACACTGAGCATCTTTAAGCCCCAGATGCTTTGATTGGGAAATAGGCAACATAACACCTGCCCAATGAGATAATTCATGGTAGGTGTTTAGCACAGTGACATGTAATGAGCATTCAGACAATAATATCTCTTGTCATCCCTTCCCAGCCATATAACCTAATTTTATTCTCTACCCTCTTCTGACTAAAGCCCAAACTTCCCCAAAGTCCTGGAAACCCTATAGAACTCAGAACACTAGTTTCTGAGACTAGGACATCATTATGGACACAGAAGTTGTCATAAGATTAAAAGCATGGTTCTGTCTGATGTGGGCTGACCTCCTTGGGATGGTCAGCTTCACACTTGAACTTTAAGCAAAGCAAGAAGTGGTCAGTGGACACAAATATGATTAGCAAATGTTCTGGAAATCATTTAGGAGAAATAATTAATATACCTGTGAGTATTTTGGCCTGCAGAGGAAGAACTCAGGGAAATGTGGCATTTATTTAAAATCTCTCAAGGGATATTGTGTGGAAGAGGAAACTGACATTCTCCAGCATTTCACAGATGGAATTATATCCACTGATAGAGGCTAAAGGAAGACGTATTTCCACTCTACACAACAAAAAAAATCTAACTTTCTAACAGAAAACAATGCCAAGCTGGAATGGAATTTGTTTGATAGTGAGGTCTCCATCAAGGGAGGCATTCAAGAAAGGCTGAGCATTTGAACTCTCATAGGAGAATTAGGTACTGGAAGAAAAACTTTAACATCTTTCCAAACTCTAAGGTTCTATCATTCTGCAAATTAGAGGTCAATAGTCATTGATTTCCTTGCTGACTCTGCTTTGAGATTACCCTCACCTCTGGGATGTCTTCTAAATCTCTTTTTCACACCCCCATTCTCATATGATCCATTGCAAAAGGCCCCACTCCTTCTGGGAGAGGGGATGGGAGGACAGGTAAAGAGGCCAAAGCCACTGTGATGTTACTATGTCACAATATCTCCTCCTTGTGTGATGGTCTGTTTCTGCTAGACACTGTACAGTGAGATAAGAGATGGTTACCCTTCAGCTCCTGCCTTGGCTTGGAAGCAACCTCTATACTCATAATGATCAGAGAATGGCCAAGAACAAAGCATTTTATCTACCTGCTGATCTCTTCCTTGTGAAAGGAGACTGAGTCTTAGCCAGGTCTCTCTGACCCAGAGCTAAAGACTCACTGCTTCTAATAATGTTAGCTAGCATGTAACCCGAGGGTAATCAGGAAACCCAAACTATTAAGGGCTATCCTCTCTGAAAGTGGTTCAGCCATCTGTGCCCACAAAGGCAAAAAAGCATATCCTTAATGTGAAAGATTTTTAATAGAATCAGTGTGCATTCAGAAATAAGAGAACAAAGGATATACCTAATGAAACTCTGAAAATTACCCATCTCCTCCTGGGCCAATACCAAGCCAAATATGCATGGCTCAGAGCAGGGCCATTGAAGCCCAAAAGCTTGCCACACATCTTTCTTTCTGGGAGGGAAACAACAGAAAGGAATTAGTCAGGTCCCAGAGAGTTGGAAAGAAATACTCAAAATTCAAAATGAACTGCATAATCCAACATGGAGTCAAGATATCGGCTGCCATTGTCTTTGACAAGGACCAGGA